TACGCTCCCACCACGTTGCCCTGGTGGGGCCTGGCCATCGATTACTCGCAGACTCTCCCTGTGTCGGGGTCGACGCCGACGACAATGACGATGGCGCCGTCGACGTCGACTGCAACGATGACACAGGCCGCGCCGGCCAAACGAAGAAAGATTGCCAACGGCCCTGCGGAAGATGGAGGCCGTCGACATCAACAACAACAGCGCCGGCACTACGACCAGATCGACAATGAGGAGGGAGGTGAGTTGGAGCTGGACCTGGAACGGGAGCTCGACATCCTCATTCGATCGCCCGCGCTCTACGGCGCCGGGGGCTCGTTGTGTCTGCCGCTCGACCAGCAGCCCTTCTTCGTCGATGTCAACACCAACACCAACGACCCTGAACTCTTCGCCTCTTCTTCTTCATATTCTTCTCCGTCTCTCTCGCCCACCATCGACTCCTTCACCTACTCCTCTTCCTCATCGTCTCCTTATCTCTCGCCTTGCACGACGTCTTCGCCCGCGTCGCCCTCATCTCACACGTCGACAAAACCAACGACAATGTCGGTTTTCGTGCCACCGCCGATGGCGGAGGATACCGCCACGGTGACGCTCACCCACAAGCCCCGGGGCTCCCACGGCGCCTGGAGCCCGCTGAACGACGGCCAACGCATCCGGTACGCTGAAAGATGTGAGTATTTTGTTTTCTGCATACCTTCTCTCTTTCTTTCTTCTTATTTACGTTTGCCGTGTCTCTTTCGTTCTTTTCCTTGTGAGTGGGGGGGATTATTTTGTGGTGAATTTTTTGCATTCCTCAGCTTTTAAAGTGTTGCGGTGCAACAGGCAATGGGAACGCGACTAACGGCGTTTACGGTTCGATCATCAGCGTGACGAAGGGCCGAGGCAAGCGACTGCGGATCGTGGTCAAGTGCAGACAACGATTCGATTGGCCGGACGTGCGCTTGCGGCTGCTGGACCTCACCAATGGCCCGGCCCTCGAGTGCGCCGACTTTTATGTGTGCAACGATCGAAGCACTCTCCAGGTGCGCCATCACCACTTCACCAACACCTATCACCATCATCGCCACCACCTCAATCAGACAGTTCTTAATCGGCTTACAACCCCAATGTGACGACAGGACGAAGAGGACGGTGGCTCTACGGCGGTCATCGAGTTCCACGTGTCTCGAGTCCGTGCGCGCATGCAATTCGAGGTCACTCTGGAACGGCGGCCCACCGGCCACAGCTGCGGAAGCGCTCCGGGCGGACCCTGCTCGTGTGGATGGACGTGGGAGGGCCGGACCGTGTCTTTTGTCACCCACAACAACGGCAAAGATCGGCCTCCCCGCGGGAAACGCCTGCGCGATTGAAGACCTCGCCCCGCGCCATGGATATTTGATTACGGCCAATGAGATATTCTCCACCTTTGGTTGCACGGTAGCACACTCGAGCTTCGCTGAAACTCTCGTTCGAGGAAATAATCATGAAATATCTCTTGGGGCCGACAAAAGAAGAAAATAGAAAAAGAGACATCAACAAGATGGAGGAGTGCAAGGTGTGGGACGATGCGGCGATTCTGGCTGCCCTGCAGCAGGCCGTGGGCAAGGAGAAGCTTGCTCGCGAGGTGGACGAGGCTGTGGTGGATTACCTGGTAGCCGTCATCCGCGGCATCGTTGCCGAAGATGCAAACGCATCTGCGCAGACCGCGGTGGATAAAGAGAGGGCGGGGGCGGCCGTGGAAGAGGCCACCACGCCTCTGCTATTGGCCAACGGTCTAGCCAAAGACGACGACCAGGCCGCCGCCATCTGCCGCGCCCTCCTCGCCGCCCTGCACCTCTCCCCCGCTCCCGCCGGCCGCGTAGCCGATGACGAGCTCAAGGTATTTATTATTTATTATTTATATTATTTATATTATTTATATTAAAATCCTTTTTATCATGAATGATTATTTTATTTTATCTATTTTTTATGGTACAGGTGCTGGAGCGACCCGTGCAGTTGCAGGCGTTGATTCCCGAGGAGCCCAAGGCGCCATGTGCCCGCGAAGAAGTGGTGCTGCCTCCGCCCAAGGGTACGTAGTACTACGTTGTGCGGCTTCACCGCCTCCTGCGTTACTGGCCGTTAAGCTTTCTTCTCTCGTTACGCCCGACAGAGGAGGTTGACACCGTTGCCGAGTTCCTGAAGGGCACTCGAGACCCAGACCCCACGGTACCGCTCATTCACCCCTCCTCCTCTCTCTCTCTCTCTCTATCTTCCTACACAAGACCAGATCTGGCGTTGTGTCGTGTGGGCAGCCCACACTTTTGTTTGGCTACACGAGCGTTGACGCGTTACATGTCGTTCTTTCTTCTTGTCGGCCAGACGCGCAAGCTCTACCTGCGCGAGCTGTGTCCGTGTCACGTCAAGCGCGACGTCGAGGTGGTGTGGGACAGGATCTTAGAGATGACTAACGTACGTTGCGGCCTCCCTTTGGTTTCGGGTTTCCGTGAATTAGGAAAAGAATACGAAACCAATTTCCAATTGAATTGGACTGGGCTGCAACCCACAACCCAGGACCCCGACCCGGCGGTGCGGTACCAAGTCATGCACAACCTCTGCGATGGCTCCCCCGCCACGCGTGAGCTGGACGTCATCGCCGCACTCGGTACGAAAAGCCCCCCAACGCACAACGTACGCCTCGGCGCCTCACACCCCGCGTTTGTTCAAACAGAGAAGATGCACAACGATGACGACAAGGAGATCCGCCGCAAGGTCCACAACGTGCTCACCCACTACCGCAAGACCGGCAAGTGGAACATCCTCTGAGCGCCCACCGACCAACCCACAGTCATTCCGGGACTAGCCCACACGGTGGTGAGGTGGGTTCTGTGAGGGGGGAGGCTGTTGTGTGGTGTTGTCTGTTGTGCTGTCAACAAACTGGGCCACGCAACAAACGAAAAACAGCAGTGTACCCCTGACGAATCAGTGAAAGAAGGCAATTTTAAAAAATTACTGATAAAAGTCCGATAAAGTGGCCCGACACGATAACACCGCGGGTCGGGGCAAGTGATTTCGTTTCTTGCCTCTGTTCCTGGCAAGGCCCTACACGA